TATTGTTTTGAATTTGCAAATTATTTATTTTTTCTTTTATAAAATATAGACAACTACTGATTATAATTAATTAAGAGAAAAAATTAATAAAAAAAACCTGTTTATTTTAAAAGTCCGCAAACTTTAAAAAAACAAACTCTTTTTATTGTAGATTTCAAATGTTTGATCGACATCTTGTTACCTTGTTACGTAAATGTGGATCCACCTACTTCATACTTTTTACATTTTAAAAAATAACATCTGCTAAGTTCAAAAACTTAAATTTATGATTGTATTCGTCTTCTTGGAAATGCCTCTTTTCTTGTTGGTAAGCCACTCAGACCTTCTATTTGTATTTTTCATTGAAAGGCAAAATAATTTTATTGGAATTCGGAAAAAATATAGACAAACAAACCCTAAAAGAGCCTTTTTTGAATACAAGAAAATAAAGGAATATACAAATTTTTTTTGGTTAAGACTAGATCTAAACAATTTTTTTTTCGAACTCGAGCCAATTAACATTGCCTTTCTTGCTGGTATGATAATGAGCTACTTAAGAGCATGCGGTATGGGCCAAAAACGAGAAGCAACAGGCTGATGTGGCATGCCTCAACGGCGTCATGACGGGGGGAACACCGCCTCCCCCCCCCCCCCCCAACTCGTTGAAGCTCGTTATGGTGGATCTTGTGGTAACGAGGACGAGATAAAACAAGAAAGATGATTGGCTATCTCCTTCATCAACCAATCAAATAATTTTCTCTATTTTCTCTCTCTACCTCTTAACATGATATAACATCTGGAACACCATTTCCTTCTTGGTGTTATGGTGGTGTTATGGATGAGGTGGCACCAATTTGGTGTTACATCCCGTTGCCCACACCCAATGCTCTAAGACGAATATAAGGATACAAGATAAGTTTATATATATATATATATAGATATATATATATATATATATATATATATATATATATATATATATATATATATATATATATACTAGGAGCGTACCCGCGCGATGCGGCGGCGACGATTTGTTTCATTCCGACGATTAGTTTGGAATGAAATTTAGTGTCATTTCGTCGGTCGTCAGATTGTTTCCTTTCAGTTTGTTTCATTCCAGATATTTGTTCATTTCGGCGATCAGTTGTCTCTAGACATGCAAGAATTAGTTTGTTTTTTGCGTCAAGTATTTTCTTTCGGTGGATAGTTTCTATTTCTAGAAAGTTCATTGCTATTTTTAAGTACAATGATATAAAAATAAGTAGGATGCTAAAATGTGCATTCGAAGGTGTATTGCAATTCATGTTTCCTTCAAATTGGAAACCGGAATCGAGTTTAATAAATATAACTTAATTTGGGCAATACGGCGAACATCTAATATTTTTTCTTTCCACGACGGGACTTGAACTGTCAACCTTAAAGAGGAAGGACAACACCGGATACCGGTGAGCTAGAAGTCTTTTGGTAAAGATTGTTTAGTACAACTGCAACAAAATGATATTACCATTTCATTAAAATCAATCATAATGTTATAGTTATAAAATACTATGTTTATGTTAAAATACTAATTTATCAAATAATTAAGCATTAAAATAAAGATATTAAAAAGTCAAAAGTATGATAAATTAGAAAGGTTTAAATGTAAAAGTCGAGGTTCTAAAAAGCTCGTCATGGCTCCGCCATGGCGCGCCATGGCTCCAAGGCTTGTATGTGCCGCCAAGCTTTACCAAAAAGCCGCTATGACTCATATATGTGTATAAAAATAAATTATAGTTGAAAATACATATAAAAATACTATTTATATACAAAATTGCCGCCTTAAGCCACGCCTTACAAACGACGTGGCTCGCCAAGGCTCGGAAAAGCTTGAGGCTTGACATTGCCGCCAAGTCACGCCTTACATTATTTAGAACTTTGGTAAAAGTTAACAAACTTAAAAATTAAAGACTATTATTAATGCATTGATGAACACAATTTTTTCTATATATGTTTGATCATTGATGTATTAAAAAAAAAGAATACATTTATTTTTCATTAAAACTAATTTGACTGTAATTATGTTTTCCTTATTATAGATGCCTAGCAACAGGCTAAGGCCCCACCCTTTGTTATTTTGGCACTTTTTTTTAATAACAGTTGCATTTATGCATTTAATTATGGTTATTTAAATCATCTTTACATAAATCGAGAACATTTTTGGCATACGTTCAAGAATTTACAACTATTGAAGTTGACGATACAACTTCTCAAAGGACAACTTTTTCGTAACTATTTTTTACTAAAAACTAAAAACCACAAAAGCACTATCTTATTGTTTTATCTATATAATCTGTTGTTAAAACTTAAAACCATAAAATCTACCGAAAAGCAAAGAAAATTTTACAGTGTGATATTACATTTATTGAAACAGATTAAATACTCTAATTTATTATCTTATATTAAAATCCGTTTTGCCTTTACTCAACATATATAAAAATACAATATTGAACTTGAACTTTTTGCTATAACAAACCATACAAATACAAAATAAATATAAAAACTTTTTCTCGAAATATACATAAAATTAACACATATCTGAATCCTTTTTCTAAATATCTACAAGTTCAAAATAGAGAGATGAAATATAATTTTTTTTGAATTTACACCTAACTATAAAATCTATAAAATGCAATACGAAATCTAAAACTTGTCGCTCAAGTAAGTATACATTTTTCTCAAAGCCCATGCTAAATGTAAAAAAATTGAATTAATTTTCTCAGAACTCATACAACAATTGAATTAATAAGAGCATATATATTTCAGTCAAAACTCATACAAAATACATTCAAGAACAAAAATCGATCACGTGATATCAAACCGTGTGCTTTCCATATTCTAGCTTTCGTCATGGCACAAATCACTAAAATCACATATTAATTAAAATCCATGTATAAAAAATAAACAAAACCCATATATATGGATTTGGTTGTAACCAGTGGCGAATCTAGAATAGAATAATACGTGGTTCCTAATTAAGTGAAATCGAAAAATCTAAAAAGTAAACAATCCATGTGATGAATCGGGTCGGGTCGAACCAGTAAAGTCTACCTGGCCCCTCAAACTAGATTTTTGTAAAAAAAAACATTTATTTTGCACGACTAAATCTCTTTTTTATTAAAGAGTTCATTTGCAATAATTATTTTTATAACCAACAATATGAAATGAATTGTGTTGCTTTTTCAACTTTCATTATAACTATCCACCATCCATTTTACAATATCAAATAATTACATCTTTCTTTTTATCTCCTGTATGGGATAAGTTTTTATAAATATTAACTATTTGTTTTGTAAATTTAAATATAAACCCACCACCATTTCTTTCATTTATTTGTTTTTTTATCTTGTCAAAAATAATGTAAGGTAGGTCATATTTTTTCTCAAGATGGTTCCTAAACTTTATTCAATGTAATTAATATATAAAACTAAAAAAATAAGTGGGTACTAGGACCCACCTTTGCTATATGTAGATACGCCCTTTGTTGTAACACATCTAATGGTTTTAGACAACAATGGAGATTTAAGAGTTTATATTTAGAGTTTTCGACGAAAGAGAGGCAGAGGCCGGCAAAGAGAGATGTGTGGCTGATGTAGTTGCGGCTGCTTGTAGTCACCGGTGGAGAGAGCTGCAGATGGTTGTCAACGACTGTAGCTGTGGAGTGAGCCGTAGAAGGAGTTCAAAAGGCATTAGAAGAGATAGTAGAAGAGATGGTGGTTGTTCGTTGAGCAACTATGCATAAGTGGTGGCCAGTAATGGTGAGGCTATCGCCTCATTGTTTACCTGGCGGCAAAGTAGAATGATGCTAAAGAGATATGTCGTTTTTGTGTTGATCGAAGTGTTTTGTTGGTAGCAGAGGTGGTTGAAGCGATGCTTAAAACAGTGACTGTAGCACACATGGAGGCTATCAGTGGTTTTAAAGGTTTTTAAGGTTTATATAGAAAGGAAGCAAGAATCGTGATGAAGGGGCGGCTGGTAAGTTTCTAGGGTTTTTGGGTTATTAGCTGCACGGTTACATATGACATGGAAAGAGTAAATGTCTAGTATTTATATTAAGGGTTTAGTCATAATGTTTAATTTCTATTGGTCTAAACATGTTCACAAGGATCACAATCTAAGCCATTTATATTAAATCTAACCCTTTTATATTAAATCTAATGGTTATAAATCCATCTCCTTGTTTTAAGACTTTAGTTTTAAAATTTGTAGGACCCACAATTATGTATGTATTATAAAGTAGTATATATATATATATATATATATATATATATATATATATATATATATATATATATATATATATATATATATATATATTATATATATATATATATATATATATATACTAGGAAGATGGAGACAAATAAAAGTAAAAGAAAAACCAAAATTTATTGTGGATTCTAAATTTCCGATACCTTGAATCATATCATTTTTAGAAATTTTGCAAACATTAATACAATCATGTCTAAAGTTCAAGCGACTTACGTGACAATAACATGATTGAAGAGTATCTTAGATGAATTTCGTTTGTAGAAGTAGTCGAAAAGTGAACAAATATTGATCATAATTCCAAATACCACTTTCATTCAGCAGCAATGCTTATCCCAAGGAGGACCAAATTTCACTGCCTTGCAATACAAATTTGAATGGTTTATCAGAATTGTATTTCCATCTTCCTTAAAGAATTGAACATATTTCTTGCATCAGCTTTATAGGACCACTGTATATTATATTGTAATTTCGCCAAGTCATTGGATTTCTTTTAGGGATTATGACCCAAATATGCAAATTTTGGGATTGTTTTCCAAAATTTAGTCATAATAAAACTTCTTTCCACATATAGACATGCATTCCGCGGAGCATCCTCCGAGTGCTCCGCAGAATCGACTTAATCTCCGAGGCATAGATGCTTAATAAGATATTATGTATATTACAAAGCTTACAAATAACATATCTTTCCAATTCTTTTAATAAAATATATAGGCGTCCATAAACATATAAGATGTATGCTAAAAACCTATAGCAAACATGTATAGGCGTCCATAAACATTTAAGATATATGCTATCTATAGCAAACATGCCAACTTTCTTTCATTTTTAATGTTTTTAAAGATAATATAGAATCCAAATCCAGTATTGGCTATAAACCTATAGCAAACACGCCAACTTTCTTTTATTAGCAAACACGCCAACTTTCTTTTATTTGCAAACATTTATTGCTCAGCCAAAGCCAAAACAAACCAACTCATTCACGAGCCACCACCACGACTTGTTTCCCAACATTTTTGCCGGAAAACAGCCCCACCAAAGCCGCCGGAGCACTCTCAAGCCCCTCTGCAATATCTTCCACATAACATATCTTCCCTTCTTTTATTAAAGGTATGACCATTTCAACATACTTTGAATAAAGATGATAATGATCAACCGCTATAAACCCTTGCATACGAATACGTTGATTTATCAAACAAAACAAGTTCTTCACCCCTTCTCCTTCCTCCAAATTGTATTGTGAAATCATCCCACAAACTGAAATTCGTCCATTTAATCTCATATTTAAAAGCACCGCCTCCAACATCTTTCCACCCACATTCTCAAAATAAATATCAATTCCTTGTGGAAAGTACCTGACAAACTCAGAGAATAAGAACTGCAGTCCCATATCAGCTAAATAAGAACTGCAGTCCCATATCAGCTAAATACAGTCTCATCTGTCTCTATATATGTTGGACATCTTTCTCTATATATGTTGGAGTCTTACCTCTTTAGAGCTGCATTTAAATCGTGTTCTTCCTTGTAGTTAAAAGCCTCGTCAAATCCAAATTTATTCTTTAGAAGCTCAACCTGTAGATCAAAACGAGTAAATTATACTTTGGGTATAACTGATTTTTGCAATTTTGATCCTAAACAGTTTTTTCTTGACATTTTGGTATTCGTTGAAGTTTTTGTAACGTTTTTGTCCTCATTCTAAATAAAATAACTATTATTGATCGCTAAGTAAGCTGGTTTTTATCATTATGGTCCAAAAATATGATCATTCTACTATGAACCTTACCAAAAACGTTAAAAAAAAAACTCAAATAAAGACCAAAATAGCAAAACCTTTTCTTAAACTAATCTAAAAGATAAAAGCTTGGACCTTTTCTTTTGTTCCGGCACTTCCCACTACATAACATCCGGTCAGCTTTGCAAACTGCCCAACAAGCTGACCGACTGCCCCCGAAGCTGCTGAAACAAAGACATACTCTCCTTTCTTCGGAGCACATATCTCATGGAAACCAATATAAGCAGTCATACCAGGCATACCTAGAGGAGAATATGAAATTGCGCTACTCTTAAATCTTAATAATATGGTGTAATTCTGAGTAAAAAACACGTTAACTTGTAAACATACCAAGGATTCCTGTATAATAAGAAAGTGGGACGTCAGTATCTTGAATCTTGAACAGAGTATCAGGATTAGGAATAAAGCTGTATTCCTCCCATCCAGTTCCTCCCCAAGTTAAGTCATCTTTCTTGAAATTTGAATGTCCAGAATCCACCACTTTTGATACTCCATATCCAACTATTGGCTGCAAGATTGTAATGGGTATATGAAAACACGAAGAACAAACTGGTTGCCTCTAGAATTGATAAGAAAGCCAGAAATCGAAGAAGATTAACCTAACTCCCCTAAAAATGGCGGAGATTAGAATTATAAGAAAAATTCTCCTCCTTCCTCGACAATTAGAGTATAATTAATTCTGAATAGTGATTATAAGATTGAGTTACTAACCGAACCAGGAGTGAAGGAATCGACGTAACTTCCTTGGTTTTTGCTCATCCGGCCACGCATGTAAGGATCACAGGAGAGATGAAGGTTCTTGACGAGGACGGCATTGGAACCTTGTGGGAGCTTGAAGGGGGTGATGGAGGAAGTTTTAAGGAGCATGTCTGATTCCTTGGGGAAGCCATTAACGTAATCCTTCAAGATTACCTGTTGATTTCTCACTCCTTCCATTTGCTTGCTAGACTGTTCTTGAGTTCTATATGAGCAGCGATGTTTGATGTCTTTATATGATGATATATGATTTTGGGAAAACGACATAAATGCCCCTTAAGTTGGCACCAAGGTTTTTCTAAGGCTGTTAGGAGGCGTTTTTAGGAGACAAAAGAAAGAAACGGCGTTTGGAAGATGTTGTGGCGGTAAAGGAAAGCAACACAGTCCTGTAACGCGTAAAAACGTTGAAACGGGACGGTGTTTATAACGTGCAAAAACTTTCCGGTGGGCGTTGCCCATACCTAGCAAAAATAACCAAAATTTTCAATAAGTGTCAAAAATAGCTACGATTTTTGCAGGTGGAGAACTACGAAATTCGTTTTTTTTTTTTTTTTTTGTCAAATTCAAACCTTCATAATTATTCCATAAAAGCTTCATTTTGGATAATAAAAAAAAAGAACGAAATTAATTAATCTAAACATTATAAATGAATTTTTCAAAAGAAAATAATAACTTTTTTTCCATTTTTAAAAATAGTCACTTCTTTCGGAACGCTTCATTCTATGTTCCTATTAAAAGTTTTTTTTTGTTTTTATTCAAAGAATTCTCTCTATTTTTCTTGCGATTCCGGATTTAATCTTCAAATTTTTGAGTTATTTTTCGGTTTTTTCATTTTTATTTTGAAAGAAATATCCCCACTTATGTCCGAAATCTCTATTTCGAAATGTTTAAAGTCACCGATTTTATAAAAACGTTTAATTTTATGCATTAATATCGTATATAGTTCACATTAGTATGTTTGTTTAATTTTTTGTTAAATTTAAATAAAAAAAGAATTTTTTTTCTCGAAATTTTGAAATTGTTTATCGGAATTCGGACTTGTTCTTGAACTTCCAGAGTTTTTTTCGAAATCCAAAATTTCAGTCCAAAATCCAAATGTTTGTCCGGAATTCAGTTTGAAAGATACTTTTTTGTCAAAAAAAAATGTTTTTTTTTCTAGAATGTTCATTTCGGACCAAGTGGTTATTTTTGCTAAAAAAATTTTTTTTTTGTTATTTTCTTTAAATACACATTAAATTGTGGTTAGATCACTTAATTTTTTTTCAAAAAAATCCATTGTATTCTTTGTAACAAGGTTATTCATGTATATAGTACACTAGGGGTGAACATTTGGACCTGTGGACCGGACCGGACCGTTTATTTGGACCTCCGAGCCGGTTCTTGGTTATAGGATTTTAGCAAAACCGGTCTGGTTTTTTTTTCTGGTTTGGTTCGGCAGGTTCCGGGTAAAAACTGGTTTTGGACCGGCTTATTTTAAAAAAAATTGTAAAATTCTTTAAACAAACATATCTCATTCGTTTTAAGTCGGATTAACATGCGATTTTTTCCAACGTGTAATTTGGAGTTTGTAGATATTTTAAAATATAATTTTGTTGTTTTTGGTGTTATATTTGATGAGTTACAATCATTCAAAGATAAGATATTAAAGCTGAAATATTTTAGTTTTTCCGCAATAAATTTAAACTTTTTTATTCTGTGAAATTCTTTAAACAATTATATCTCATTCAATTTTAAGTCGGATTAACATGAAGTTTTTTCTAACGTGTAATTTAGAGTTTGTAGATGATTTTAGACTAAAATTTTGTTGTTTTTTGTATTATATTCAATGAGTTACAATGCCTCAAAGATGAAATATCAAAGCTAAGATATTTCAGCTTTTCAGCAATAAATTTAAACTTTTGTATTCTGTGAAAATTTTTAAATAGACATATCTCATTCGTTTTAAGTCGGATTGACATGCGTTTTTTCCAACGTGTAATTTAGAGTTTGTAGATGATTTTAAACTATAATTTTGTTGTTTTTGATGTTATATTCAATGAGTTACAATCCTTCAAAGATGAGATATCAAAGCTGAAATATTTCAGTTTTTCAGCAAGAAATTTAAACTTTTGTATTCTGTTAAATTCTTTAAACAAACATATCTCATTCGTTTTAAGTCGGATTGCATGCGTTTTTTTCCAACGTGTAATTTAGAGTTTGTAGATGATTTTAGACAATAATTTTGTTGTTTTTGGTGTTATATTTAATGAGTTACAATCCTTCAAACAAATAGTATAAAGTATAAATAATCAAAGTTCGACCGGTCCAAAGGGCACAATAAACGAAAACGTATTCATTTTTACGAGTTGTACCGTATCAAACCCAAAAAAATATTCATTTTAACGAGGTGTAACGTATTAAACCCAACAACATATTTGTTTTAACGAGTTGTATCAAACCCAAAAACACGTTTTAACAAGTTGTACTGTATGCATATAAAGTTGTACCGGTCCAAACGGGTCCAAGAACCGAAAAACCCGGACTTCGACTCGGACATGGACCTGGATCCGGTAAGTCTCATTCGGTCCGGTCCACGGTTCACAATATTCTCCGAAACCGATCTGGTCCAAGAGCCGGTCCGGTCCAAATGCTCACCCCTATATTACACTCTAAATTTAGATGCCAAAAAGTCATAATTTTAGCTACAAAGTAGGCTATTTGGTAAAATATTTGATAAAGGACCAAACTTTGAACTTTAATAACTATTTCATACAAATTTCATTTGAGTTGAATTTGTTTTTATTTGTATTATTTTTAACAACAACTATCTATGGACATATTATTGTCCAAAATTGGATGTGGAGAACTCATGCCTTTTCAGCTCCAAAGTAAGTTATACGGTAAAAATTATAAATAAAAAAACTTCATAACATTCGCATGCGAAATTCATAACAATCATCAAATCATATGAGTTTTTCAATCACAACGGACGACTTGCAAAAATATCAAAAACAAATCACAGGTCACCTAGATTTCTATAGGTGGTGACATGCGAAAATCTAAACAAAATCATAGGCCACCAAGATTTTCACAAGTGGTGACCTGCGGAAATTATGGCTATTTGGGATTTTTTTTGTCCATTTGTTTTTGAAAAACCTTCGTGGTCATTTTTTCTAATTTTTATTCAACTTTTTAGTTTTAACTTTTTCATCGGTTTAGTGTTTTAGCTCATAATTTTCATTCAACTTTCTAGTTTTATTATTTGTAATTTTTTTTCATTGGTTTTTAGGTTACCTTAAAGTGAAACTTGTAAAAAATATTCTAAAGTTTACAAAACTTTTAATTTTTACCTAAAGTATGTTTTCTCCCATTTTACCCCATAATTTTTATGCAACTTGTTGATTTTACCTTTTTTTTTTCCCTAATTCATGTTAATTGGCTGGCCTTTTTTTGTTGACGTCGTTTGTCACATTAGCGTCTTATAAGAAAATGGAAAGAATTATGAGAAGAGGGTTGGGAAGGATGAGGAGGAGAAAAATAAATTTGTCCAAAATATATGTTTCATGATTGTTCAGATGTTTACCATTTAAAATTTTAATTATTTAAGTAATTAGTAACTTTATAATTATTACATTAGTAACGAGCAGATAGCATACCCCTCGCCCTGATAACCATATAGAGGATTCATGGATACTATTCGACATGTGGACGTAGTTGTACTAACAAGATAAATGTTCACGTCAACAACTCAAAAAATTCAATTCCAATAAAAATGGTTCGCACGATTCGCTAGAAATTTAACAAAGGACAAAGTTCTTATATAAACCTATTAAAAGTACAAAGCATCAATCACTTCACCCAATAAAATAAGGCATACTAAAGCTAGTCGGAAATTGTGGTACTTTTCGATCATTAGCATGCACCTTATGTTGAATAGTATCCATGAATCCTTTATATGGTTATCAGGGCAAGGGGTATGATATCTGAATATTATGGGTGGGGTCCCCTGTTACTAATGTAATAATTATAAAGTTACTAATTACTTAATAAAGTTAAAAGTTTAAATGAGAAACATCTGAACAATCATGAAACATATATTTTGGACAAATGTATCTTTCTCCTCCTCGTCCCAATCCTCTTCTAAAGCTAGTCGGTAATTATGTGTAACACACATTTTCCAGAATGGATAAGTTGGTGACCTGAAAGAGTCAAAAGTATGGTTTTTATGGAAAACCATTTTCCACGACGTGGCATGGCTTGTTTTGTGTGCATGTTCTGATGGATACCACGACGTGACAAGTAGTGCGCCACAACGTGGTGGCTGTAGCAGCCCAAGACCATGATTTTTAGGGTTTCTCCCATATTTAAGCATCTTAATTCATGATTTAGGACTTCTCCATCAGCCTCCATCTCCTCATTTCGAGACCCTAGCCTCCACGAATGATTGAGAGCTTGTTTGCTTGATATAAGAGCTTGTTCTTGGATTTTGGTGAAGCTTGAGGAAGGAGGAAGTTCATATTGGTGTAAGTAAGCAACAAACTAGCTTGGATCCATCACTCTCTTCTAATTTCTAAGTTATTTAAGGTATAAATATAATACCTTGACCTTTAATCTTCATGTTTCAAGTTTAAGTTCATTTTGGATGATTTTGGTCACTTTCATGGATGCTCATGGAGTTTGAGGACCTCATGAGCTTGTTGTGGGTCTCAAATCGTCATAGGTTCCTGAGAATGAGAAAAGAGTCATCCTTGGGGCTATTGTAACATCTGGTTTTCAAGGCACTTTCATTGTTGACCCTTATATTGAGATTTGTTGCATATTGGCCCCTAAGTAAATAAAAAGGTGCAAGGGACATTGTGGCATTTTGGTAAAGTTGGCACTTTGGTCCAAACGCCAGGCGTTCGGCATAGAACGCTAGGCGTTCAAACGTCTGGTGTTCTATGATGGACGTCAGACCTTTGCACGCAGAGACCAAACACTAATTTTTAGGGTTTGCAACCTATTTAAAGAACAATATGGCCTCAAAGCCCTTCACCACTCCAGCCTCCATCATCATTTCGAAAACCCTAAGTGTGTATGAGAGTTTGAAGCCTTGGTTCATCTTTTTGGTATCATTTAGTGCTCTTGATAAGAGAAGGAAGATCTTTGAAGTATTTTGGTTGCTCTCTAGCTTGTGGATATGGACTCTTGACATCTTGGAGCATCATTTGAGGTATAAAGTTCAGATTTTGATGTTTCATTTGCTAGATATTTATTTAGGTCTGGTTTATGTCCTTTTTGATCCCTAAGACTTGATCTTTGTGAGTTTGGAATGCTCCAGAGGTTTGGACTATCCTTTGAAGCATAATAGTGAGTCTAGAGTCATAAAAATGCAATCTTGGGTCTTCATAATCTTCCATGCAAGAGTTTT